ACTTTCCCATTGAAGTCTCCCTGGACTATCCGGCCCCCAGGGGTCTCCACGTCTGCATGTGCAGCCCATCTCCACCCTCACCATTCCTTTGGTCAGTATGATCTTCTGTGGCATTTCTTCAGTTGTGAATCACTCATGCATCGTTATTTCGCTTTTTACGGTCTTGATGTGTGTGCTCCAACAAGACTGAATGTTCCCTGGGTGCATCACAGGCACGCACTACAACCTCCACAGCACCTAGCATGGCTCTTCCACATAGCAAGCCTTCTGTAAATATTTCCTGATTTACAAATCAGTCCAATGTGACACAAACAGAGACATCTGCCACACGCCAACAAAAGAAGGGTGAAAAACACAGGATAGAAACATCTTTGTTTGTCTATGCTCCATGAATGGTGAGTGGGTAGAAGGGAGCATGGATGTTAAAATGAAAGCAATTTTACAGCATCTGTGTGGAGTACCGTTTAACCTCGTCTCCTACTGGGCTGGTATTCATTAACAACTGCCTCACAATGTCAGCCACTGCTTCATGTTCCCAGGAGACGGCCCATTAAGAAAGTCACCAATTCATTTCAGCTTAGTTTATAACTAATGAAGCAATCTATGGCATCAATAATCTATGGATTGGCATATGAGTAGGGCATGATTTACAATCTCTCTATAAAATGTCATTTTAAAGTCTCGTGGTCTTGTCTCAGACAATTTCAAACAAAAATTTTTTTAAATTTTTACTCTACAGGTATCCTCATTCCCACTACCATCTCCTCATCTTTTCTCCACCCCAGTGCTGGCCCCTAATCTCTACATAAAAGCAAGAGCAAGGGATGGAGAGAGGGAAGAAGAAGACCAATCTTAGAGGATCTTCCCCCATTTTACAGATGAGAAAACTGAGACTTCCTGATATTGTGGAACAAGCAAATGGATTTGGTCAAAATCTATTTAAATCCTGCCACCTCCATTTACTGTGTGATCTAATCTCTCCAGGGTACTGTTTCCAGAACTGTAAAAGGCAAATAACATCCCTCACTGACTTGTTTTGAGGGTTAAATGGGACAAGGAGCGTGAAGGCCTCGACCACACATAGGCGCTCAAAGGCCAGGGAGTCAAAAGTCAGACCCTAACTAGTCTCCTTCCTTGTTGCCTCTGCAGGATTCTTGGAAGTGAACATTTACTGCAGCTGAAACCTCCCATTCATACAAAAAGGACACCGGAGACAGAGGGAAGCCACTGAAGAAGGCAGTAAGTGGCTAACAAAACCGCAACTGCCATCTGTTCTTTGCTTTCTTTCTGAGTGTCTCTGGACAAGGACAAGTTAACTCCAGGAACACTGTTTTCAGCCAGCTGAGCAGGGCTGCTGGAAGGCAGGAGGGATCACTGGGAGGGCAGAGGCTCCTTCCCCAGTCCCCAGGACTAGGATGCAGAAACTGTCCAGCTGGGCAGCAAGTATCTTTCCGTCTCCCTCAGTCCACACCATTCGGGTCTCTGGCAAAAAATACCAGTTCAGCATGTGCGCACAGGCTGAGGAAAGCAATACAAGGGTTCTTGCAAGGTAAAAAGGATGTGGCTTTTAAACACACATGCATCAAAGAGAGTCCCTTGCCCCCTACCCCCTCCCCTTTTCTATTTGGGACACACTCCATCAAAACAAACAGGCTTCTCAGGAATCCCCACCACCACCCGCCCCAAGCCTCTGCCAGGAGTGAGGTGGCCACTTTCTGGAGGAAAGCCACTCTCCCTTCCCTGAGGGGCTGCTGCTTGCCCGCTGCACCTTGTAATGGTTCTCCCAGCAGCCAAGCTAAATGACGAAGTTGGCCCACAAAGTTAGAGCAGTTCAAGCAACAGCTATTTAACAGCTCAGAAGGGGCTGGGCTCAAAGCACTTCCTTTCCTCTAGGGAGCTGCATTTTTCTAAGATTATTAGTTCTTGGGCTGGCTGCTCAGCTACCCAGCGTCATTTCCCCTTTGGGTGGGAAAGTTTTTCCTCTGCATTGATTTTCATTATGATTTAAGCCTTTTCTCCCTCTCATCTGCAGAACTCACAATTAAAGCACAGCATAGGGATCACAAAATCAAGGCATATAAATCTAGCATTCAGCTTAGAACTGTGGCTCGGACATCCTGGGTGGTAGAAAAACACACGCAGAAAAGGAAAACCTCTAGGTCTCAGCATCTTGTCACCACTGGCTGAAACACCAGCAATAAACATCGGCTGAACAGCCAGCAGGGTGACAGGTGGGCACAAAAGCTGAACAATGGCTATATAAACAGGGAGCTGCTCTCCAGGGACTTACAGTCTAATACAGGCAAAACACCCACATAATGGAATGCAAACACAGTTACTCAACAGTGAGAAGCTGAACTCTGCCAGGAGGAGAAGAGCTGGAACATTTGTGCCCCATGCTGCTGATACCAGTGTATCTGAAAGTCCCAGGAGCCAGACCCTGACTACTAGCATCCCCATGGCATGAAGGGGCTGTAGGCAGCTTCCCCAACAACCAAATGGAGCACATTACTTGTGAGACTCAGGGCTTGTTAGCAGCAGTAGCATGGCACCTCCGCAAACACAAAACTGCTGAGGGAGAGCTGGGATGACCATCTGTCAGGGATGCTGTTGGGGAGACATCTGCACAGGACACAGTGAGGACTGGAGGACCTGTGGAGGCCCGCTCAGCATTGAGACCTTGCTGCCTTGTGAAATAAGGGATAGCATCTAGTGATACCTGGAGGCTAATCCCAAAGGCCCCCAATTCTCATTATCAGAAAACTCAGACTCACTGAATTCACTGAACACTGGTTTTCTTATTTGTTGTTTCCTTTTTTTCCCCTAAATTACACTTTTTTGGGCCACTACCAGAAAAACAAGCACAGCTCATGCCTAGATCCTCAGCCACATAAGTAGCTTCTGGCAGCTTTCAACAGGTGTTGCCTTTATCTCTTCCAATCACACCTTCCTAACATCCCTTCAGAGACTGGGCCTTTGAGCCACTGAAGAGGAGGCACTCCTTGGGTGGTGGCTGTGGGGCACCAGGAGACCAGGAGAGCCCACTTGGGTAGGTGAAAGTGTGCACTATTCCAGCTACTCTCCCGCTGCTTTGGGGACTCTCACACGTATTCCTTCCAATACCTCATTTACCTGAAGCCTCCGTCACTCACCTCTGCAAAGGAATCAAACTGGGAAAGCCACAAAGCCAAGACCAGCAGCGTTACCTGCCACACCTATCAGGGACACTTGGGTCACATAAGGCCCCAACTCTTACCAGCTGAGTCCTCTAAGCTAGCTGCCTCCACTGTCCCTATCACTGTAACATCTACCTTTCTATGGTCTCTGGAGATCCCAGCCCTAAGAGAAGGAAAGAGACTCATGTGCCAGCCCCATCCTGCCAGGCCCCTGCAAGTCAGTGTGCCTCCCACCTATCCCCTAACAACAACATGGGGGCCCTTCAGCTAAATCAGCCTAACTGCTACCCAGAGAACTCTGCCTTCGGCGCTCGGGTGTCTCCTCTGAAATGTTCTCAATTCTCTGCACTCTAGGTTCTGTTTAGAAAAACTCACAAAATACTACACAGTGTTCAACAGTTACTTTTCTAGTTGGAGAAAGTCAGGAAATGTACTCTTATGTTCTTGATTCCTTCCCGTGGAAGTTAGCAAAACAGCATATGCTGTAAGTAATCTAAAGTCAGTCACTCTGGGATATGTCTCCTACAAGTCTTTAAAAGCTTCTCTCTCCTCTCCCTTGTCTTACTGTTCCTTGGTTTCTCAATCTTATGCCAGTGATTTAAAAATTCATAAAAATAAGGCACTTTGCGATAATGGAAATACTGTTGAATATGAAATTGAGTTTTTACAAAATTCTTCTTATTTAACTCTAAGAAGCACCTCTAGGTCGCAGGAAGCAAGCTACTTCACAAGCCAGAAAGTCTGCGTGATATGAGAAGCTTAAACAAATTGTCAGTTACGCAGACAAAAAACTCAACTTTCAGGGAAACTCCAAATCGATATCTAGTGTTGCAAGCAACCCAGCTTCTTTGAATAGCCAGGACAGAACGTATGTATGCCCTGTGTCACTCACAGGAAGGCAAAGGCTAAGACCACCACGTTGCTGACTTTGTTCAAAGCACTTTCCATTTATTTTTACTTTCATTTTGTCATATCATCACTAGGAGGCTAGAAGGAACAGGGATCATCACTTCCATTTCACAGATGGAGAAAGTAAGCTCAAAGAGACAGCATTCCCAAGGTCATAATAGTATTATGGTTAGAATTCCACTCAATCTGTGGCATATTTTTCCAAATCATAAGAAAGAACTGGATACAAAAGTAGCAGGGAGAAGAGGTCAGTTCCCTCTCTCTGCTTGGGACAGGCGGTGGCTATCACGGAGTAACAGTTCACTGGGAAAAGGAAAGAGGAGGGAGGAGACTCAGGGATGGTGCTGTATCAGCCTGTGCTTTGCAGGGGTTCAACCATGCAACCCCCACCCGCGTTCCTTTGAAGTTGAACCAGTAGAGCATTTTGTTTCAAACTACGTACATCCTTTGTCCTTCACAATATCCCGTGCTAGAACCTCTTAAAAAGCAGTTATTTAGATGAGAAAGTCAAGCCCAGAACAGAGAGGCCAGTTCTGTATGGGGGAAAAAAATGAACCTGGGGACTGCCGGCCAGAAATCAGAGGTGGGAGAGATGCTTTAGAGCCTTTTTTCTTTCCTTTCCTTTTTTTTTTTTTTTTTTTTTTAAGTAGGCTGGAAGAGATACAGGGTACCCATGGGAAGTAAGTTTTCTTCCAAAGGGTCGGGGGAGAAAGGGATGGTCACACCCCCAGTCCAGCCACCGGCCAAAGCGTCCCTCCCTACCCGCCGACCGTCAGGGTCCCGCACATGCCGGGCGAGGAGCCCCCACCCGGGGTCGCACGGTGCGGAGGGGCCTACGGCTGGGGATGCAGCCCGCGGCGCGCCCACGCCCCCAGCCCAGGCTGGCCAGGCGCCAGGTTCCCGGCTCTCACTCACCCGCGCTCCCGCCTCGGGGGTCCCGGCCGGAGGGTCCTCGCCGTGCCGCGGCGCCCGGCTCAGGGTTGGTGTGGCTGGGGCCCGGGGGCGGCGTGGGCGGCGGCGGCTCACGCTCCGGGCGGCGCTCCAGCTGCAGCTTCAGCCCCGCGCCCGCGAGGGGCGCTCGGCTCGGAGCGCGGCGGGCCAGGGAAGGCGGCGGGTCCCGCGTCCCGGGGGCCGCCGCGGGTAGCGGCAGCAGCGGCGGCGGCAGCAGCAGCAGCAGCAGCAGCAGGAGCGGCGGCGGCCACCGCGAGGCGCGCGGCGAGGCCATGGTGGCGGCGCCCGCCTGCGCTCACATGCCCGGTGCGCGGGGCGGGCGCGGGGCGGGCGCGGGGCGGCCGCGAGCGAGGGCAGCGGGCGGCGGGGGCCTCGCGGGACCTGGATGTGAGCGGAGTGAGGCTGCGAGCGCGCTCCCCGCCTCAAAAGTTGTCGCGAGCCGCGGGAGGGCGGCCAGGGGCCGGGCGGGCTGGGCGGAGGCGGCCCGCGGCGCCGCTACATGCTAATTAGCCCGGGCGGGTCGCGGGCGGGCGGGCGGCTCCTCCTCGGTTGACATCACCGGCCCCGCGCGGCGGGCCCGGGGGCGGGGAGAGGGCAGGAAGGGGGCTGGGGCCGGGCGCCTGGAGAGCTGCCCGGCCCGGGACGGCGGGGTGAGGTCAGGGGAGCCACGGTGCAACTTTTGTCACACACACGCTCCGCAAAGAGTCTTGTGAATCGGACACCAGCACTTTACCAACTCCTTAAACGCACAAGAAGTCGGTGAAAAGCAGGTCCTGGGTAATGTGGTCAGCACCAGACTAAATTATCCCAAGTGCTTTGATAGAGAAGGGGAACGGTCCCCTGCCCCCCACCCCACGCTGTCACCACCTTTACTGATTTGAACTGTCCCCACTCCCACCCCACCTCCCCTCCTCCAGGCCCCAGGGCTGGTGATGAGTTCGTGTTTGCCAAGCCTAACACCTCACCCTCTAGCCAACGCGAGAATCCGAGTATCCCCCCACGCCCTCTCAAGCTTGGATGCTGTTCCATCCGACCACTGCCTTTGGCTCACACCAGAGTTCTGCAGAGATGTCACCGCCAGGACACCCAGACAGGCTGCAGGGAAAAGAAAACTGTGAATTCAGGCAGGCTAGGGCAAACTCATCATCAGGAAAAGAGTTGCAGGTCGCAAATTAAACGAAATGATGCCTAGAGATCACAGAATTTTAAATGGAAACCTATGGGAAGAGATTCAGAGATTTCGTGTAAACAAATTTTCTCGGTAAATAAAGTTCCATTTGTTTCCATATCCTCTCCCTTCCCAGTAAATGAATAATAAAATGTCTAAAGTTTGGGACTATAAGTCTCTTCATTAAGTGAAGAAAGAGGGGCTCAAAATAGGAAAATAACTTGCTCAAGATTCTGAAGGTAGACCCAAAGACGAAATGATTGATCTGCGAGTGACCGTGCGGTATTATTAATTCTGGTCTCCTAATTCAGCTTGCAATAATTCAGACAGTGTTGCAACAGAAACAAATGCTGCAGTTCATTGGGGATCTTGCCAGTTCTGTTGGGGGCCCCTGTCTGACAACCAAATGCCCATGAAAATATGCATATGCACCTCACTTTCAGGCCTGGCTCTCCACCCCATTTCGCTGCTCTTCTCTGTTTCTCGGTCTCCAGGTCTCCATGACCCACCTCCAGGAGAATGAGATCGTGGTTTCCAGGACAGCTGCAGATGGGCCTAGGTCCACTTTCTGGTGACTCAGTACAAGTGAGTCATTTGGCAAAAAACATAAAGGAGGCTATGTATAAACAAACTCACCTTAAATGAGGGAAAGGGGAGTAAAGATTTTTGTTTTATTTTGTTTTGTTTTTAAACATACCAGCTTTCCAGGGCTCTCATACAGAATGTCCAGGTCTCTCCAAGAAAATACCAAACAATAATCCCCCTGAAACTGACTTGCTTTGCTCTCATGGCCTGAGCTCAACTTCTCTGGATGCTGCTCTCGCATTAACAGGCAGAACTGCACAGCTGCCCAGACTCAGCCAGACAAGCCCCAACAGACTAGGACTGTGCTCGAGGTTCTGGTCACTATCGCTCCCTCCCCTCCAAGGAGACCATGTCACATAGTACTGGTTGCCCTCCCAGGCAAGCAGGAAGGTTTAAGGATAGAATGGCCCTTATTCAGGAATCCTATGAGAGAATCTGCCTTTTCCACTAAGACCCAAGGAGTAAACATGTACCTGCTTCCTTCCCCCAATCCTGCCCCCATCAATCCCTTTTAAGTACCCAGGTTTATCTCTCTCTAATCTTCTCTCTGCCTTCTAAGAGAAATGACTGAGTTCAGGGTAACTGCCAGCTAGAAAGAGCTTAACCAGCAGATTAGGAGTGGGACACACAGGGAGAATTTGGAAGGAGCGATCACCGTGTAGATGGATTTCAGCTCTTTTTCTTCTCCTCCTAGGGCAGAACAAGAGAAAACAGCAAGAAAGCAAGAGAGAGCTGGAGGCAGTGTAGAACTTTAGAAAGAACAGTTGACTTGGTCCAAGAATCCTTGCTTTGTTTCTGGACTTTACCACTGCTTAATTGTGTGATCGGGGCCGCAGTTTCCAATCTGTAAAACAAAGATGGTCCTAGATGATTGCTAAGGGGTGTTCTAGCTCTGATGTTTTAGAGTTCAGTAAAGGACTTCTGGCACAGTAGCAAGGAGGTATGAAATAGGTGTCTCCCATCTGAGTACTAACCAGACCCAAGCCTGCTTAGTTTCTGAGATCAGAAAAGATTAGGCTCTTTTAGGCTGATGCGGCCATAGACTAAAACAGTTATCAAAGGACATTTGTAGTGTTTCCTTCCCAGGGATATTAAAATCCAGGCAAGATTCTTGACCATCTCAGATAGCTTAAGAGAGGTCCTATTTGGAGCCAGGGTCATAAATCAGATGACTTCTCAGACCCATTCCAGCCCTGGGTATCTGTTGATCTAGGATAAAACAGATGTGAAGCCAGCTCAGAACCAATTCCAGGACTGAGTGAGTTAACAGGCATTCCTGACCTCTTCACCGGTAAGAGTGGGGGCACCCCAATGTGGTTGGCAGTGAAAGCAGGGAGCCCAGTGTCTTTGCCACCTGAAACTTCATGTAGTCAGAGCTTTAGCCAGGGCTTTCCTGGCTCTACTTGTGTTAGTCAGACTAGGCTAGGCTGTAGTAACAAATAGGCTGCCCAGATGCAGCAGCTTAATACCACATGTGTTTCGTTCTTGTTCCCCTAACAGCCTCAGACTCTGATGTTCAGCTCATTGAGAAGCTGTCCCACAGAAGGGAACAGGCAACCACATTATGGCGGTTCTGCCATATTCTAGTATGGCTTCCAAAGTTGCTGTGGGAATTGGCATCCCAGTCAGCCAGAGGTGAATATAACATGGTGGTGTGGGCAGAGGAGGTTTTGGCGGGCTGCTCTGGAAGTACCTCGTCTCCTCTTACATTCCGTGGGAGACAGCATGGTCACATGGCTCACCCAACTGTGCAGGTGGCTGGTCTAGCCACATAGGCAAAGAAGGGGAGAAGGGATTTGGGTAGACGGCTAGCAATCTCTGCCCTACCCCTTGATATCAATAGGGCAGGGAAAGAAAGGGAGAATAAAAAGATTCATCCTTTTGGTCTCAGTTTCCTTCTTTATGAGGGTGTTGAATCAAATGATCTCTCAAGGCACACCTACTCTAACATTCAGTGGTGTGAAGGGGCCATGAAGTGTCCTTCTGCACCAAAGTGAACAAACTGTACAGGTTTCTGCCACAGCAGACTTGCAGCTTGAGGAGGCCTCCTCTGCTGATTGGTCTGACTGGTAGACTCACAGAGGGGACCTTGGTTCTCTCTAAGTTCTGTTCCTAAGCTATTCTCATTACTTGGCCAAGTCAGGTAATCTCTGTTGATCTGTTTCCTTAGCTGTCGCACGGGGAGAAAAATCATTTCCCTCTGCTGCCTCTTGGGGTTGATCTGAGGATATGATGAGATCACTGCCCAGAAGGCACCAGGAGCTCTTCTGACTAAAGTGCTCTGCGTGATGCCCTTATTGCAGCCAGAGCCTTTTATAACACGGCATTCTAACCTGGCCCCATGGTGTGCCCAGTTCCTGAGGATGGTGCCTGTGCAGGATTTGTGGTCATGCAGGTTGCCATTGCCAAGGCCGGAATGCAGGGGCAAGTGCACAGCAGTAACATCCCAGGGACACTCAGGACTCTGGTGACCAGGGCCCCCTGAGGGCTGACAGATCAGCCAATAGATGCCTGGATTGAGCGTCACCTAGGGACAGGTAGGCTGGGACCAGGGATCACTGTCTCCACTGGGGTATCTGGCCGGTTTCTCTGTTAAGTGCTCATCACCCTATTAAACCCTGAGAATGTTTGCTCATCCTCTCATTTGCTTGTCCCCTCCCACTCTCAATCTACGAGGTGCTTTCTGGAACGTTCTGTGCCTTATTAATCTTTATATCCTCAGAATCCAACATAGGACTTTCTTTTACTTAGCCATTCAAGAAATATTTACTGAGTACACTGTGCCCAGCACTGTGCTGGGTGCAGGGCAAGTCTGTGCCATCATAGAGCTTAAAGGTTTGGAGGAGACAGACAGTAATTAAAAGAGCATAAATGTAAATTTGTCACTTGTAAGTGCCTGAAAGAGACCACCCAGGAGGGTGTGTTGAGTTTCCCTGTGGACGTGAAATTGAGTCCTGATCCGAAAGCTATGTAGGCTGTTAACCAGGCAAATCCAAGTGGGGAGAGTATGTGCAAAGCTCCTGAGGCAGGAGGAAGTGGGATACATGGAAAGGACTGGAAGAAAGCCAGTGTGGCTGAGACAGAGAGTAAGGAGGACCACGGAAGGAGGCAAGTCTGGAGACTTTGATAGGAACTAAGTCAGGGAGACTTGACAGCTCACTCTAAGGATTTCTTCTTTTTTAAGAGTTTAAGGAAGTCATTATAAAGTGTTAAGTGGAGAAGGTAGAGTATGGTGAAGGTGAAGGAGGAGGAGGAGTTAAGGGGTGAGGTGTGACATGATTTGGGATTGGAAATGATCATTCTGCTAACTATGATAAGAGAAACAATTTAGAAAGAAACAAGAACTGATACTTGGACTCTCGGAGTCCAAGTGGGAAGTTGATCACTCTTGGACAAGGGTAATAGAAGTAAATTCAGAGGAGAATATGGATTTGAGAGATTGTAGGAGGTAAAATCCACCAGACATATTGGTGGACATGGAGGATGAGGGAGAGAGAGTGGCAAGATATCTTAGGTTTCTGGTTTCCATGATTGGATGGATGGTGTACCATTCACAAGGAGAAGGAACAGTGGACAAGAACTGTTTGAATCTGCAGACTTGGAGCTGAGGCGAGAGGTCCAAGTTTAAGGTTTGGAGTACAAGGAGTGCAAGGAGATGCGATTATCTAGGGAAAAGAGTATTGTAGTCAGAGAAG